ACTATACCCCTAAAAGTGAGCATATTAGTACCATACAAGTATGCATGCTTTAAGGGTAGATAAGTTACAAAGGTGCACCTTTGAGGGTACCTCATGAAAAATAAACACGGTGCTACATAAGTACTAAAATTTATTATTATTATTATTATTACCATGGTAAATTTGTTGTTACCTCAGTTTTAGTACAAATACTGTGGTTACTGTAATACAAGCATGGTTCACTTTTGTAAAAGGCTGCCAGGCTGTTGTACCCCTAAAGGTGAAACTTGTGATCAAAGCTGAATTTTCAGCATCATTACTCCAGTCTTCAGTGTCACATGATCCTTCAGAAATAATTCTAATATCATTTGCTGCTCAAGAAACATTTATTATTATTATTGCTGCTTCATATTTGTGTGGAAACCATTATGCATTTTCCAGAATTAATTTTATATATAGTAACAATGTTATGTAATGTAATGTAATAATGAGGCAATGGTTTCTTAAGATCTACTTACGCTTCTGATGCTTTTGGGAAACGCAGCCCCATTTGAACAAGCACTGTGACTGAGCCATGCGTCAGCAGCGAACGCTGTCTGTGATTGATTGGTTCTGTCTTTCAGCATTTGCGTGTGTTCCGATGAGCAGGAGAAATGGTTCTATCCAACACAATTATTTGCTAATATACTTAGAAGCTTTTTTATGCATCGAATTTCTTGATAAATAAATAAAATGAATGGTTAAAAAATGCATCGAGTGAATCGATATTTTTATGTGAGGATCGAGAAAGGAAAACTTGAAATCGCATCATATGACCCCTTTAATGTCCTTCCTTCTTGGTTTGTATTAATGCTGTATATCTTTCTGTCTTTCAAGAGTCACTAATTTAACGCGACTACCATCCTCACTGGTGGAGTTAAGTGAACCTCTACAAGTGGTGCGTTACGAGCAGGGTGGCCATTACCACGCTCATCATGACAGTGGGCCAGTGTACCCTGAAACAACCTGCACACATACTCGCCTCGCCGCCAATACCACCTCCCCATTCCAGACGTCCTGCAGGTAAACCAAAGAGATTAAGATTAATATTTTATAATGTTTAATCATATAATATGATTTAAAAAAACATTATCACACAAGCAAATATGTATTTAGAACAACAGCATGATTATGAGTGATATTGTTTAAAGTCAGTTAAATGAAGTTAATATCATGTAACAAATTTCAGACAAAGTTTTTTCCCCCTTAAGTTCATAGTATTTGTGGGGTTTTTTGCAGGTACATCACAGTTCTGTTTTACCTTAATAATGTAGAAGAAGGGGGGGAGACTACCTTTCCAGTGGCAGATAATAGGACTTATGAAGAAGCGGTGTGTCCTATTGAATTAAACATCTTTGCATGTGTATTTGTGAGTCAAACACAAGAATTTTGCACAGTTTTACGCATATGCCACAGCCAATAATTGGATGCACGTATCCATGTGTTTCCCAGTCACTGATACAGAACGATGTGGATCTGTTGGACACCAGGAAACATTGTGATAAAGGCAACCTGAGAGTGAAGCCCATTAAGGGGACGGCAGTTTTCTGGTACAACTATCTCTCTGATGGTAGAGGTAATGAATATAACTTATCTGCTATTTTGTAATGCATTGTTTTATTGTTAATAAAATTATTAAAAATCTTCTTAAGTAATTGAAGTAAAGCTGAAATAAAATATAAATATTCTATGAGAAACTTGAAACAAATGAAAATTAGAAATAAGCTGAAGTACTAAAATTACTAAAACTATTAAAAACAAAGCTATGTAGAAATATTTAATAAGTAGTTAATAAAAAAATGACAAAAGCACACAAACATTCCAAAAATAAAAGCGAATTCAAAATATTAATAAATATTATAATGGTATATAAATAATACTAAAATAACACTGTTTTGGAATGAAGTTAAGTGAAACATAATGGTAGTGTAATATCAGTGTGTCGTTTGTTATCCATAAATGCAATGTGCCTAATCAATGTTTGATATAAAAATATTAAAAAGTTTCTGAAAGTTGTTACTCAGCTTAACTGAATGTTTGAATTTGTGATAAATAACAAACTTCTAGTACTGTAGATACAGTAGTTCAGAAGCATGACTTTTTGAATTTAACATTTTTTCATTACAAATTGTATTATTACCATAACAACTTGAGTGAAAAGTTTAACTTAAATATTTGTTTACATTTCAGAATGTCTTAGTTCCCATTTTATTTAATGATAGCAGCATTCAAGCTGGAATGAACTCCACAACTTTGTTCAAAATCTATAAATCCATCTCCAGCATGATTTCAGAAAGATCCAGAGAGCATTTTGTGGAGTTACATTTAGTCATAAATTTGTTTAAATGTCACTTGATTGAACCCACTTTAAGAAGTTACTGTATCTAGAAAATGTTGTTCATTATCTTGTTGTGCTGTGCTGCCCTCTGTAGGTTGGGTTGGTGAACAGGATGAGTATTCTCTTCATGGTGGCTGTGTGGTGACACAAGGGACTAAGTGGGTTGCCAATAATTGGATCAATGTCGATCCAGATTACCAGCGGCAGACACGCTACCAACAGTTTGTTTCTCAACAACAAGAGACACAAGAGCAAGAAGAACTCATTTCAGAACTGAACTCAGACCAGCACGTAGAAAGACACCAAGACCTGTAAACGCATACATCCAGGTACAACAATGCACATATATACACATTCACTTCTGTGTTGCAATCTATATATAGTCACCCACTTCCTCTTTCACATAAACATCCAGACACACAGTACATTACCAGTAGAAAATCACTATACACACACTCGTGTCTCTGCATCAATTATACACCCTGAAGCACTGACCTCATACCAACAAACACAAAAATACACTCGTACTTTGAACTGTATGTTTGGTTCGCTCTTCCCTACATGCACACTAAAGAATTGTAGCCCTACCAACATTTCCTCATTTTCAGAATTGAATGAGCTTTACTCAACCTCCAGCGGTCCCAGTGTCAGAGCTGGAATTTTTGTTGGGTTGGATTCAGGGATAAGCAGCCTGAGCATTATGCAATTGTGAAAGACAATGCTACTGTTCCTAATGTAGATATTTGAAGGCATTATTATTTATTTTTTCATGGGAATGCAGCCATATTCGGCAACTTTGTTTACATACAGAATGACACTCTACTGTACTTTCCAAAGGCCGTACACACTGCAGATAATCGTTAATGCAGTGATAGTAAATAGAAGTGCATACGAGATGTGTAGCTCTTCCCTGTACGTGTTTTGTCTTGCAGCAAATAAACTGCTCTCAGTGCTAAAGCAACTTCACAATTGCTGGAGGATGTAGTGTGTACTGGCCAAAGAGTGTGGAAAAAATGTATGCTATTGCTTTCTGCTGAAGTGACATTTAAACTGACATCTAAATCACCCAACACTTGAGGAAAGTTATCTGCAGGAACACTCAGTAGTGACTTTTTCTGTCAAGTTTGTTAGTTTTCTGTTAGTTTTAATCATAACTATTAACAAAAAATTATTAAGAGTTTTAACCTATGTAACATCTAGTCAGCCTCCATCTCTGCCAGGTTGTTTCTTACACTTGTTCCCTCTCAGATATTCCTGAAAAGAAGCATGTAAAACTCGCACAATCTTGTATGATTCATTTGGATTTCAGTAATTTATTTTGTAATGTTTTCTTTGTTAATTGCAGTGCATCCAAAGATTGACTGAAGTTAACTTATTTTATTTATTTGTTGGAATTGAATCACATTGTTGCTGTTAAAATGCACAGAATCACTTTGTCAAATAAATTATTAAATTGACCAATCAGAAATTAGGACAAAAAAGACATTGCATTTTCCATTTTAACATTTGACATTTTGCAAACAGATTATCATAAAATGATTTCTGTATAATTCACAACAATCCTTCACTAGTAAACTAAAAACAAAAAATACAATACAAACATATTAAATACATTTTAAAGCCTATGTTTCATAGTCAAATGGGGGAAAAAAGTAACAGACATGTTTCATTAGTGTCAACTGCAGAGCCAAATTCTATTTGAAACTTCATGGAGAGGTTTAGTTTTTTTTATATAGCTTGAATAAAATCAGAAGAGCTTGTAGAACAAGAAGAAGAAATCAGACGATTTCTATCATAGTCGGGTCCCACTCATATCCTGAAATGAGAAGTTTGAAATCATGTATATATTCTACAATAATTCCATGAATTGTATATTCTATGTGAATGTGATATTAGTGAGTGCATATATTGGTGAACCTACTAGAACATTCTCATAGCTGTGGACCGTCTTAGCTCCCCGGTGTTTGAGACAATACAGAACTGCATCATGCACAGTAGCAAAGACACCTCCTTCAGTGAAGACATCAGAGAAGAAGCCGCCACATTCAAGCTGTTCCACCACCAGTGCTTGGGTGAAAACAAAGCATAGCCCAGATATTTTTCAGTCATTGACCGAATAAATCATCAGACAGGAAGGCTGATTTTTTAAGTCCACTGTAACCTTGACACTCTTACCTTGACAGCCTGCCAAGAAGATATCCACATCAATCTCACCAAAATCGTGGAATATCTACAAAAAGAGATGGTGATGAGTGCTCGGTTGCAATGCAAAGTCACTGCTCTCATAGAATTTTGAATCACTTACATTCCTTAATGTCTTAATGGCCACAGTATCAATAAAGTTAGCAGTGGAGAAATCCAAGATGATGGAATGGATGTCCCAGGTCCACTTCCCAAGGGATCCCAGAGAAACCCTTTCCAGGTCTCGGCTTAAAGTGTCTTCGCTGCTGGAGTCTAGAGTGCTGGTGTCCCCATCATGTAGATCTGACACTGACCCCAGGGTGGCGGTGTCAGGATCAGTACCCTTAAGGTACATCCAGGTGTGATGGCCATCGGATGTCCTCGCTGTCTCCGGTATTACGAACACTGTACTGTTTTCCCACTCACTCCAGCCAAGCTCTACCTCTCTGTATATGTCTCCATTTGTTTCCCTCAACTGCCCTGCTTCCTCTTCCACTGAAAATACAGCTTTTTTGGATCGCTGAGAGAGGCTTCCCTGAAAGCTATTTTCTGTAAAGGAAGAATGAAAGAGACGGTTCCCAGAGTTGAGAAATGATCTATGCTGCAAGTATTTGACATTAGACATGTTGCCTTGCTTGCTGCCTACATAGAATTATTATTTTATAAGTGACTGTTTTGGGAACCTTCACATTGGCACACACTAACAATTGATTTCAATAAAGTTTGCTAAGTTGGTGTGATACTGTAGTAATCATAAATATACACACAAATATTTTGTAAAATAATCCATTTGTAATTACACAACTATTTTTATCAATATTTTTCATTATTTAATCTTTTTATTTTTAATATAACATTTTATAAATATAATATATTTTCACATAAAAGTTCATCAGAATGCATTCTGAAATTGCCTTCTCCACAAAGGTGAAGCTGCCTTAAAAGTTGGACAAAACAAGGTATCTTATCTTTGTGGGCAGCTGGTTTTGGAACAGAGCATATATAATAGTACAGGATCAGGCCTAGCTACCTTAGCTATGCTAATGTAGCAGTTCATAATATGGAAATGGTTAGCAGAGATCATCTACCTGTCTTTTAGTCTCTCTTTGGGTTCTTCGCTCTGCTCTCCTCTCTCTGCGTCTCCGCTTGGCCTCCTGTCTCCGTTTATAGGTGAGCATTTTCCCGATGTCCAGGCCACTCTTTGCGTAAACCTCAGCAATTAATATGCATTAATGAAAATAATATAGGTATATCTTCAAAGACAGCAGTTCTCAACCTTTCTGAGTCTAAAGGCCCCCATCCATCGTCCACAACAATATTTGAAACTATGACCCCTAGCCATTTCAATCTATGGCAACTCTTTCTGTAAATTAAAAAATATATATAATAATAATAATAATAATTACAATACAAATTAAAAT